ATATGCTTTGCAGTACCATGAACTCAACAAAGGTCGAAATGTACAGTAACACATTATACCTCGATAATGATTATATATCATTAGAGATGCCAATTTGCAAGGTTGTAGGATTGCATTCAGTATTATGCCACTACAAGCAATATTCAGGGAGAAAAAAACATTCATTCAAAAATTTATTCAGTACCTAAAATGTAAGTAGTGTGCCAAAGACTTCAGTGAGCCCTAGCTGATTTGGCTGTGGATAAAAAACGTGAGCCTGAGGATTAAAGTCTCTTGGGTTTGATTCTGGTCAAGGGCACATGCCCGGGCTGCGGGCTCAATTCCCAGTATGGGGCGTGCAGGAGGCAGCCAATACATGATTCTCTCATCAAGGATGTTTCTCTCTCTAAAATCAATTTTTAAAAAAAGGCTTCAATGAAGGGAACTTATAGGAGTCAGATTAAGCAGATGGGTGAAAGATGTTATGAGGCCAAATCCTATCCTATGTAAAATATGCAAATAGACCAAATGGAAGAACTGGTCGCTATGATACGCACTGACCACCAGGGGGCAGACGCTCAACGCAAGAACTGCCCCCTGGTGGTCAGTGCTCTCCCACAGGCTGAAGGCAGTGGCAGGAGCCTCTCCTGACTCTGTCAGACATCCCCCAAGGGCTCCTAGAGTGCTAAAGGGTGTAGGCCCGGCTGAAGGGACCCTCCTCCCCAAAGTGCACAAATGTCATGCACCAAGCCTCTAGTGTAATTATAAATGGCTTGTTTTGGGTAATGAGCAACTCACTGATCCTCTCAAGCCATTAAAAAATAATCTGAAAGAATGAATAGCAGTCACTTCACACAACTACTAGAAACTGTAACTTTGTAGAGAGCCAGTTATCAGGAAGGTTCTATGTAGAATACAGATAGAGACCATGCCGGTTCTATCAGTAGATAAAATGTTGGCCAGAGTAAAGGGTCCTGGATTTGATACCGGTCAAGGGCACATACCTCAGTTGTAGGCTCCATCCCTGACTCTGGTCAGGGTGTCGTGAAGCAACCAATCTGTGTCTCGCTCCCTCTCTCCACTCTAAAAAATTAATAGAAAAATATCCTTAGGTGAGGATTAACCCCCCCCCCCCAATAAATAAAACAGAGGATTCAGTTAAGTTATATGAAATAACACTTGTGTGCATTACAACTTTAGGGAAGGAAACAATATCTTACAACCAGGAGAAAATAGCAGAAAAATTGTTATTTATACCAAGTCAGGACCAATTATGGTTCTAGAATCCTACCACTCCACATCACTAGGCCAATAGTGATGAGAAAAGGGTGACAGCCTCTGGTGATTTGCATATTGTGGGTGCTTCTGGAGTGCAAAGCCACAGCTCTAGTGATGTTATTTTATGCTAAAAACTAAAGGCACTCCAATTCCTAGAGAAAACGTGTATTGCTAATGTATTTAGACCCTTACATTAGCCTCAAATCATCTTATCCCATTCTCTACAACTTTCATTCACATACCTTTATATTATTGAATTTTCCAGTCTTTCCTTGAACACTTTTTCTTTTTTAAAAATGTATTTTATTGACTTTTTTACAGAGAGGAAGGGAGAGGGATAGTTAGAAACACCATTGAGAGAAACATCGATCAGTTGCCTCCTGCACACTCCCCACTGGGGATGTGCCCGCAACCAAAGTACATGCCCTTGACTGCAATCGAACCCGGGACCCTTGAGTCCACAGGCTGATGCTCTATCCACTGAGCCAAACCAGTTAGGGCGAACGCTTTTTTGCAATTTGTCCAAATCCCAACAATCCCTCAAGACCTAGTTCAAAGCCCAGCAAACACCCCTGGAGCACTTCAAAGGACAAAAGAAACTTCAGAGCCCTTTGTGAGTTCCAGTTTATTATATGGTGCCAGAAACGGAAACATTTCTTCCCACCAAAAGACACAAATAGACTAAAATTTAACATAAGTAAAACACTATAAATGTGATCATTTATCTTTTGCACTACCTCCCAGGTGATAAATCAAAATGACAAAAGGAACTATAATTTGTGTTAGAAGTTTTTATTTAAAAATAAACGCCCACAAAGTGCAATTATTAATTGCCAGAGTTTGAATGTTAATTTTAAGCTAGTATTTAATTACCTTTCTATCAGTGATTTCCTTTTTCTTTTTTAATTCTAAAAGTATTACAAAGGGTATTACATATGTGTCCTTTCCCCCCCCCCCCCCCCCTCTTGACAATCCCCTGGCCTCCCTTAACCCCCAGTGTCTTATGTCCAATAGTTATGCTTATATGCATGCATACTGATTTCCTTTTCTTACATTAAAAATTATGCCACCATTCACATTTGTTTGTTTAGCTAGACCACTTAATCACACACATGATCTAGCCATTCATCTTCTTCCCTTGTTTTGTTCAGGTCCCTCTTACCATCATCTCTCTTGTATGACTTGCTCTTCATTTCCCTCCATGCCAGTACAATGCTGGAGTGAAGCCTGGAGACTAAACTGAGGGGAGGGCCCTCTTTCCTATAATACATTGGGATCTTGTGGCACTTCAAAAATTAATGGCATACTATTTTGGAAAGAAATGAACATACTACTCAGAAGAAATAAATCACCTTCCCTGGTGAAGCAATTAAATTTTAACTTCCATGTACCGTCCTTTTTTTTAAACTTATACCTTTAAGGAAAATTGATTTTGGGGAGGAAGGAAGATAAAGAGATAGAGACATAGAGCACTGATGTGAGATACATCGACTGGTTGCCTCTTGTATGCCCCTGGCCGGGAAATCAAACCCACGACCTCTGGTGCAGGGGATGATGCTCCTGTCAACTGAGCCACACTGGCCAGGGCTATCTTGTTCTTTTTTTTTTACACACAGGTTTGTTGTTCTACTTCATGGATTCATTGGTTGATTCCTGTATGTGCCCTGACCCAGGACTGAACCTGAAACCTTGGCAGTTAATATTTTACTGTAATATATTGATCCCTATAAATATTCCAAAAAGAGCACAAATACCCCCCCCCCCCATTTTAATAATCAGCTGCCTATTTTTCATTGGAGCTAGAAAACAAATGTTTGTAAGTTGAAAGTTGCCATTGGGTTTAAAAATAGGGACATCTGAGTAACACCTCTTGAAGATAACCTTTAAAAAAGCTTGAAATATAAAATTAGTATTTGAAAGCACTATACAAAAGAAAAAGAAAACAAACCAGACAAGGAGTAAGGTACATTTCAATTTAATCATTGTGAACATCAGTTTATAAAACTGCTGGCAAGACACGCAGACATTAGGTCGCAAAGGAGATCCAAGAATTCTTGTTCATGTCTACATATTATCTTAAACTATGGAAATTTGGCTTTCTTTCATCACTATCACATGCATTTAAAGTTAAATACTTACCAAATTTTCAATGTCTGCTTATCCTTGCTAGGAAAGGACAGAGTTCCTTAGAAATTTACTTCACTTTAAATCTTAAAGACATAAATTAAGGGTCCATACATTGTTTAGTACTTTACCTAGAAGAATGCATCACCATTATCACATACTCAGGTACCATTTTTCAGATTTTAGAAAACTATCATTGTTCATACTAAAAAGCATTGAGTTGATTGTTCATTTTAAGTTTACAAAGATCAGCAGGAGATACAAAGTGAAAACATCCTTAGTATATATTTACATTACCTAGCTTGTGGCTCAAGACTAGAGGGGAAGGTATTAAACGGGGTATCAATTAACTAAAAATATACAGAGGCTAATTTTCATGGTTTACAGTCCCAGAAACCACTATTTCTAACCCAAGTTTTTCATGCAAGGTTAGCTATTTAAGAACACATTGGAAATTTTGAAGTCTCAGTCAAAATGAATCAATTAGCCTCACTCAAAGAGAATCAATTAACCAACATTACCATATTTCAGGCCAGCCTCCTTCAACCTTACCCTCCGCTTAATTGCTCACAAATCACTACAACAACAGTTTCAAGAACAGATAGGAATTTTGGTATTTAAATTTTACACCTATACAAAGTGAGAACCAAAAGAAATTTTGGTTGTCAACTAAAAAAAAATCAAAAGCTTAAAATTATAAATGCTAGATAGTTTTGAATAAAAACCCTTTTTTCCATCTCACCAAAAGGAAATAATTTGTGTAAAAAGTTTTTGTGGTTAGTCTGTTAAGTGAAGTTCAGAAAAAAACACCAAAAAATGAACCCAGATTACTGCAGAAATGTCAAGAGGTAAAAAAATCACCTTCTTAACATTCTCAATTCAGGTAATATCTAGAGTGCAGCCCTAGCCGGTTTGGCTCAGTGGATAGAGCATTGACCTGTGGACTTATTGGTCCTGGGTTTGATTCTGTCTGGTCATTCTGTCTGGTCAAGGGCACATCCCGAGTTGCAGGCTCAATCCCTAATGTGGGGTATGCAGGAGGCAATCAATCAATGATTCTCTCATCATTGATGTTTTCATCTCTCCCTCTCCCTTCTCTGAAATCAGTAACAAAATATATTTTAAACAAACAAATAAGTAAATAATAAAGAGTGCAGAAATCCAGATTGCCCACTCTTTGAAGTTTCCCCTTTTGGTAAAATTTAAAAGGAAAAACTATGATATACAAAAGTATAAAATAGTACTCACCAGAATGGCAGCTTTAAAGAGATGGTTTTAAGGAAAACCATTTCCACTGCATCTACACCATTTCTTATACAGTTTTAACTGTGAAAGGCAATGAAACTTAAGCCCTTAGGTAATTTTGTATTAAAAACCAAGTGGATACCTTATAAAATATATATTTTTTCATCAGTTGATAAATTGAGGCTTTAAAAAAATTTAACTGAATGTTGATCACCCTCCTAGTTTGTTTTATGGGTGGACTGTCCCAATCAAATTAGACAACATTACACTTCGGTATAAAGGAGGAAGCCGTGAATCTGTCAATGCTACAAACTGGAAGGATGGTTCAGGCTTTCATAAAAGCTAAGCTGCATGCTTTATTCTTCATCTTGGTATTTTAAATTTTTATCAACATAAGAGTATAGTATTTAAAGGTTAAAGGATATTTCTCATTGATGGTTCAAGGCAACAATAAATTATGGTAGACCAATGAAAACAATAATAAAAACTTGAACATCTTTTACAATCCATTACATCTCTGCTCCTCAAAAGAAACATGGAGAATCCATCTAGATTTCTTGATGGGTAGTCAGCTTTCATTTGAATATTTAAAAAGTAAGGTTTGTTATTTTTGGTTCAAAGTAAAATAAACCCATCATGGTGGTGCACCAACAGAATAGGTTCTAGTTTACAAAAAATGAACAAAATTAGTACTTATTTACACCAAATTACTAAAACTTTTTACGAGCTAAAAAACCCACCACTTATCATTGCTAAAGGTGAGGAAACTTTTTGGGTTGATTCATACTGTAAAAAGTTGAAAGGTAAATAAAATACCACCACAGAAGTGACTTAAGTAAAAGACCCTGGACCCAAGCCCTGCATTCCATATGACATACCAAAATGAGCATATAGCTAATAGAAACTTTCACTGTCTTTTCCTTTTATGTGCAATATATCTATTTAGGTTCAACCACAACCAAATAATAAAGGAAGAGTATTACCCTTTATTACAACGGAGGTTAGCAAACCTAAAGCTAATAATTTGCCCAAGTAGAGTGTTTGAAAGTGTCCAATGGGTCTATTATTAGTCATACTCACATTTAAGCAACTGCAGCTTTCTTCCTTGTGTGGGTTATGTGGATATGTTTGGAAAAAAAAATAGGAATATCAGGTACTTACAGATTAAACTAACCTGTACTGGCAGGGCTGTGGGGTTTTTCTTCTCTACCAGTAAGTAGCAAATGCTGAAATTCTGCTGCTAGTTAACAAAAACACAAATTGTATTAAACTGAGGAGTTCAACCCATACTTTAAAAAAAGTCAATGTGCATTAAATTTCCTCAGACCCTGACATTAATACATTAAAAAAAATTTTCCCTACATCTTACAAAAATTATCTTACATTGGCTATTCAATGTAGTGACCTTAAGAGAATGAATTAATAACACTATCTCTTGGACACAGCTGAATTTTAATAAAACATATTGTGTATTATGTGCAAATTTTTCTTATTCTAAAAGGGGGAGGGGCCTATATCCAGCGGTTGGGGGGGGAGGGATTTCTTAAATGTAATTTCTTAATTTAGGTATATGTAGACACACCCCACAGAGGCAATTTAACACTAATTCAATTTTTCAAAAAATTGATTTCACTTTATGTTAAACTTAAAGATTTTAAATTATATGGGCTCAAAAGTAAATTCTATTGCTTCTCCTGGAAGTACACAGAATAGCTAAAAGGGAGGCTTTGCTCACTCACTACACACCCTTTTATGTTTTTAATTCAAACTTACAGAACTTTATTAACTCTTCTGTTGGATCACTTGGGTAGTTAAGCAGCGTTGTTTTATGAGTAGAGACTGGGAAATAATGCTGCAAATATTTTCACTCTGACTATTTATAAATAAAATATTGAGAATGAGCTACATTATAACATGATTTGGTGAAAGTATTATAATAAATGCAAAACAAGAGCAGAAATGCTATTACCTTTCATTACATTTAAAGTTCTTAAGTCTAGCAAAACTACACAATGGTCTCTCTCCCAAATAATCACTATTAGCCTGTGTGCAGTACACTGAGGAGGACATAACATTCTTCATTTTTATCAACGATGGGCATCAATGAATTTCATTGTCAGTTGCTAAAAATTAACCAAAGGTGAAAGCATACAGATTCTTTAAAAAATCCCGGACACATAAGAATGCCAAAGGGCTTGAAGAATTCCAATAAAGGACTTCCCCTTTTTACAAACACAGCATTATACAAACCCTGACCAAATACACAGAACGCTACTGAAGCTGTGCCATCTCACCACTTTACACTTCTTAGTATTAATGGGTAGGGTCCAAATAACCAATCATTACAAGTTTACTCACATGTATCTTCTATGTAGTTAATTTCATCAAAATAAACATATACACAAACATATTCTCACAATATACCTGGTGATTACACGCCTCCTAAAGAACCTAACATGAAACAGTCTTAATTTATAATGTCCAATTTGCTTGAAAAAGAAATGGTTCAAATTGGCTTCAGTGAAGATCTCCTTCAGGTCTCCAATTTCTGCTCAATATAACTTCTATACCTTACTTATTGAAATATATTTTCCCCTGAGGATATATACTAATGGAAGAGATTTAGAGATGGTTCAAAAAATCTGAAACTATTAGTTTTAAGTTATTATTTTTCCAGAGTTGGTAAAATGGGAAGCTCTTTCTTTTATGGCCAAATTATGCAAGCAGAATGTATACAGCCGAGGGAAGAAAGACAATGCTAATAAAATACAATTAATTATCTTCTGAGCCTTACTAAAGAAATCTAGTTTTTAAAAAAATGTTACTTTTAAAACTTATTTTCCAACAAAAATGTCAAGAATATGAACACACTTGGAAAGGTTGAAGATTAGGGAGGTCAACGTCCTGTTTTCCCTACATCCTGTGTAATTATTTTTAATTAAATCCGTAATAGGGAATATCTAGATCTAAGATATTAATAGTTCTGAAAAGTCAACATTACAAAATTGTGAAATCACCATGTTTACAACACTATATATACATCACTAAAGTAACTGCTTATTTTGCCAATAAATACCACACAGAAAACTTCAATGGTTTCTATGCTAGAAAAACAAAAGGTTATTTATTAAAATGATTCAGATGACAAAATACTAAGGGTTAAAAAAAAAGCAGTACCCTTCACTAATATTCAAGCCATGAGACAGCAAGCAGAAATATAACTGGGGAAATGTTTACTTACAAAAATCTGCTTTATAGTCAATAGTTTTAGAACTGAACCCCTCCCTCGTTTTAGAAGACTTTTCCATAGTTACAGTGAGATAAAACAGGTTTCATTTTGGAATTACAAACAGGTAAATACCACCTTTTAAAAAAGACATGCCTGATTTATACAATTTTTAGGGTACATGTTGAATTTTTTAGAATCTCCTAACCAACACAAGTGTATATTTTATCTCAATAAAGAGGTAACTTCAACATTTCCTTTTATTTATCAAGTTTTACCAGTGAACGTAATAAACACTCGAAAGTTATGTAATTATTAAAATCGTATTGAGTCACAGAACTACAGAGATATCATTATGCCACCCTTAAGAAAACCCCTCTTACCTCTGCTACAAGTATGTAAGAGCCTATTTGAATTATAATTATTTCAATTACCCCTATCAGAACAAGCAGCTTTGCTCTTAAAATATTTCAGTATATTGGGAAATGGTGGTGCAACAGAAAACAACTCCAAATATGGAGTCTTAAAATGTATAATTATTGAGTAGATTATAAAATATTTCAGTGGAATACTTTCACGACAAAATTCTCCTATTCAAACATTTAAATCTATTCCCCCATGATTCAGTCACAGAGAAAAGCACATGAAAGTTAATTAACCAGGTGAAATCTTGGAATTCATTTAATGCATTTTTTTTTCTTTATGCTTTGAATTAAAACCACATAGAAACACAATACCAGGTTTGTGAAAAACGTTGTACTATATGTGAATTGTTACTGTTCAGACGAAAATGCTATCTGGATAGAATGGTGTCTCAAACACAGGAAGAAACAAAACCCAGGTTTGTGTTTTGGCCTCTCTTCCAGTTCCCTTTTTATCTCCTACAATATACAGGCATAAACTCATCTTTTCTCACCAACTTAAAGCAAACTTTAGTTGGGAAACAAACATGGATACTTCTCATGTATGTAGTTTGTATAAAATATTGTTCACTAAGACTGAAAATGAACCTCAAAATAATTGTTTCGAATCCACAGTTCAATACACTGATTTTACCACGATACGATTTTCACTTGGCTACCTGAAAATTAGTAATCTAGCCATACTGACAGGTCTGTTATACCCAAACTTTCACTATCTCCAATGTGTAGTGTATACGCATACATACCACACACATACCACCTTCCCACTTTTCCCAGGGCTCTACATTAACATTTGCTCTAATGTGGTGAGGTTTGAAAAATATTAAAAATCACAAGCATTTCCAGATGACCTTTCAACCTTAATGCTCAATGCATAACGTTGGGATTAAGAATATGTATTTCAGTACCCAGTAGCATTTCCAATAATCAAACTTATCCTTGAGGTTAAATTTAATAGTTTCGAGAGAAAATAACCAGTATGATTTTCCTAAAAATTGAAAGTGGAAAATTTGTTTGAAATATTTCATGCCTCCAAATCAAAAATGTCAAATTTTTTCAATTTACAAAACTGCAATATTGCAATGCCAGCTTTACTGAGGCTTTTAAGTATAACGTAACACAAATTACGTATATCCAATGCTTCTTATTTATGTTTATTAACACCACAGTTAAACGTGAATATTAATATAGAGCCTTCTCTGCCAAAAGAGTATAAAAATCCTACGTTTAATTAAATGTAGGGGCCTTCACCAAACTTGCTGCAAGTTTGGGGACATAAATATCCAACAGCCATCAAGCTGTGAAAGCCCCTATAAGGAATAAAATAAATCCCACTTGCCTCAGACTGAACAGGGCAACACTGAGACTCAGCCTCAGCCTGTCCTATGGCAGGGCTATAGGAAGAAAAAAATTTTAATTTTAGAAAAACATTACCCAATTAATGTAAAAGACATGCATTTTTAAAAGATCCCAATGATCTAGCAAGCAAAGGGGGAAAAAGTAGCTCTTAAAAAAACAAAACAAAAAAACCCCCCACTATTGCCCACTATAATTCTACTCTGAGACCATAGTTATTTTTTGGGATTTCCCCCCAACACACCTGTTTAATTAAGCTGAGTTTAAGTTCAGTATGTAACTTATCAGTGGAATGGAAGCACACTAAGAGTTATTTTCCCCAATCCTAATAGTAAATGTGTGAGATATTACTAAAATAGTAAGTACTCAAATCAAATAATTCCAGTAACAACTCAAAAGTTGTTCCTCACCTGCTGATCTTGTTACTGCCATACAGTAGTAATATCTATACAATAGAAACTAGTGCCAGACAAATGTTCATCATTTTTGTTTTGTTAAAAAAAGGCGATTAAGAGTGGATGCAAGGCAGAGCCAAAGCTGGCAGCCTCATTAATATTGCAACTTCCTAAATTATGGCAATTACAATGCCTGCCTGAAAATAGCAAGTCCCAAAAGTTGTCTCTTATGAGGTAAGATGAATTTTACTTCAATTCACCACTATTATTAAGGAAGCATGTGTCAAAAAAAGAATTATTTCAACGTAATTTGTTCCACTCATGATTTAACCACACTATGGACCCCAGAAGCAGTTAGGTAAAAGGTATTTTCTAGAAGCTTAATTATGCTTTAATGCCAGCACAAATTACACTTTGAATATATCAAGTGAGCACTATCTGAGCAATATACCTACAGAACACAAGAGATGGTGTTCTTAAGTTTTAAGTGTTTTAATGAGAATTATACTAATTACTTAAAATATTTTCTCCCTTCAGACCTCAAAAAGCAATAGTGACATAAAATATGTTCTCTTTGCATTAAATGCAAATAAAGTTTTGCATAATTTTTGAAAGTTCGTATCATTTTTACCTCAAAGATTTTTCAACACATGTTTTTCTTTGGCAGTATAAATGATGTGCTGCCAAATTCCAAAACTATTTCAGTAGGCAGGCAACTGGAGGGGGAGCAATATATAAGGCTCAGTTAATAGAACAAAGATTAAATGTATTCTTGGTGATACATGTCTTATACCTATACCTTCACATAAAGGTTAAAAAGAAAGGTTACCATTTTCTAAGAAGTCTTAACTTTATATTGAGGAAAACCTCAACTTCAGGTCCTTATATTAATAATTATACTTTGTACAGGTCACTGATATTTAAATAAGCATAAATCTACCCTTAAACAATAAAAACACTGGATGCCAAAAGAGGTCAATAGGAGGTATCATTATGACACTTGCAACACAAAAAACTAAATAGCAGTCACTTCTACATAATAGTTCTCCAAATACTATAATAAAATTAAAAATTTCAAATCCCCATTAACCATCCTAATAGGCATATTTAGATTCTCAGCATTACACTTAGAATATATACTAATCCATTAACAGCACAATAAGTAATTACTGCTTGCAGCCACGCTTCTAGAAGTTTGCACCTGAAAAGCTTCTGAGGTCCACGCAGCACTGCAGTCTCAAAAACAATCAGAAGGAAATGAATGGTCTGGCACTAGGCTCTAAATATCAGCAGGAAGCAGGAAATATTAAGGATTACATTTCAAATCTCTAAGACACCTAACAAGTATTGACATCATGGTGGTAAAAAGGTGACACAATATAAAGATTTCATACCCATTATGTAATGACTCGTACTTATCTAACGTTTTCTGTTAACTAAAGCACTAACATACAATTCTATATATATTGTCCAGTTTAAAACATGCAACTAAGAACAACCTATAATTCAAAGACAGAATCCAATGATATATCAAAACTGCATTGGCAACTATGAATTTTATTATGTGGACATCTAATGTGGCATGCATCTGTACAAACCTTGCAGGCAGTGGTCCACAGCTGGGTTATGAATAAAAAGGCATAAATTTTTCTCTCATTTTATTACAATGAAGTTTAACAGTACAGAAAAAGTCACATGACCTTAGTGGGTCAGATTTCGTAAACCCTGCAACATGAGGAACTCTAAACACATTAAATATTGTTACACAATCAGACTTCCAATGTACAGGTACTTGGAAATAGTTACAGCCCTCACCAAGCTAGGTTGGGGACATGAAGTCCAACAGCATCTGAAATGCTGTGAAGGCATAACTTTACAAATAGCAATGTAAGCTTACAGAACTTGCCTTTATTAAGGTGGTATGTTCATGAAATTCCAGCGTCTTCACAATATAATGAACCAAATTTACTATACTTCACTTCTAAAAACCTAGATGAAATATGAAAAAGAAGCCATACAGTATAAATTGCAACTTCAGGAAAAGTTCCTGCTTTATTATTCCAAATAATTTTCCCATGTAAAATAAATGTCCAATAGTTCCTGGTATGTGGGAAGATAATGTTAAAGTCACAATGAAGCCTTATTGACGGAAGCTTGGCTATATAAACAGCACAAGTTGAGAAAAGGTTTAATCTCCAAACCTATTAGATTGGATGAAGCGAGATCAGTAACGGCCACCTTGCGACATTACAGGAGGTCTCATTCCCATCGGAGGTCGAGGAGGCCCACCTTGATAAGGGGGCACCATTGGCGGTCCCTGCCCATATGGCGGCATAGCACCAGGAAGGTAACCTGGCATGCCTTGATGATGACCACCATACTGACCTAAAAAACACATTTAAAATACAAAAAAACAGATTGAGTTGGTTCGTGCATTGTACTTTTACGATAGTATCTTTTGCAGATACACTTATTTTATGTGTAGATTCAAAAAATCTGCTAAAAACAATAAACGTAAAAAGAAATACCATGAGGTGGCATTGGGGGTCTCATTCCTTGTTGTTGTGGGATGCCTGGCTGTGGTGGCATCATAGCTCCAATTGGTCCAACTGGTGGATTACCAATGGGAGTCTGTCCTGGACGAGGAAGGTTACGTTGATATTTAGGTAACTGTGCCCTTCTTTCTTCCTAAAAATAAAAAATAAGCACAATGTTAAACACCTGAATACAGAGACTCGTTAAGCATAAATGCAAGCATCTAAGACCTTATTTATAGAGTAAGTTTTTAAAAATGTATCATTTCCCAACCAATTACTTTTGCCCCACAAACCAGTTCAACTACTTAAAATATCGATTCTTTAAGAACTACCCATCTATTTTTGTATTTGAAGCACAGATAATGACTTTAGGATTTATAAATTGTTTCTGTGATAAAGTGTCTTGTGAAGAAGACATGGTCTTCAAGGTATATGGTCTTCTACCTCACACTTCACTTTCTTCAATTAATTTACAAATTTATGTCTAACTAAAATGAATTTTAAGAGTAAGAACTTATTGTTTTCTTTCAGAAATAATCTGGTGGGAGGGAATTCATCTAAGATCAAAACATGCACTATTCATTTTACTCTATGGTTCTTAAAAATCAGAATGGGCCAGCCAGCATGGCTCAGTGGTTGAGCCAGGAGGTCCTGGTTTGATTCCCAGTCTGGGCATATGCCCACGTTGTAGCTCGATCCCTAGTAAGGGGCATGGATGAGGTAGCCAAGCAATGATTCTCTCATCACTGGTGTTTCTCTCCCTCCCTCCTTCTCACTTCAATAAAAGAAATCAATAAAAATAGATTTAAAAAGGCAAAAGGAGATTGCTTTTAAAAAAATCAGAATGGCAGGGCCTGGTTGGTGTGGCTCAATGGACAGAGCATTGGCCCACGCACAGAAGGGTGGCGGGTTCGATTCCCAGCCTTGATGTGTGTGGGAGGCAACCAATCGATGTGTGTGTGTGTGTGTGTGTGCGCGCGCGCGCGCGCACCCATATTTCTCCCTTCACCCTTCCACTGTCTCTAAAAATCAATGGGAAAAATATCCTCCGGTGAGGATAACAGAAAGAAAAATCAGAATGGTAAGCATTAAATCAGATTAATAAGACCATCATTTTACATATTAACACTTTTCAAATGGGACAAGCTACTACAATGATATTCAATCAAATTCTGCTAGCAAAAAAAAAACCTGTAAACAACTTACCAACGATATATCCTCATCTGGATGGATCAACTTACTGGTTGCACTGGTTGTCGTAAGAGTAGCAGGCTTACTTGTTATTGATGCCGCTGGTTTAGCTGCAGTGCTATTTGTTGTACTAGTGGTTGAAGCTGTTGACTGTGTATAAGCAGGGAATGCAGGCTTCGGGGGTTCTGTAGTTGTTACAGGGGTACTACTTAAGGGCTTGAAATCTGTACCAACAGGTCCTTGGACAGCTGCCTGAGCCTGTAAAACACAATTTTTCATCAACAAAACCCAAAACTGAGTACATCTACTACCAACTTAAAAATAAGACACCAACATTCAATAAAGGACCAAACTCTAAATGAAATTAAAACAAAATTAACATGATAAATGCTCCACAAAAACCAAGAAATACGTAAGAATATCAAAATATGCTGGGTCACGATCACATCTAACACACAGCATTGGAACAACAAAAAGGTAATACTGAATATTTAACTTCTCAGGTGTCATCTACCTCCTCAACCAAATTCTTTCATTTACAAAACTTTGTATTTATTCCAGGTTGATGAAATATAATATTATATCTAATAAAATAGCATATGTTCTACTTTTACTATTCTAAATTATTTAATTAATCTACCAAGTAATTTAAAAAACCCCAAAAGGTTAGAAATTACAAAATACAAATGCTTGGATAAATTTCAGTTACTAAGCATAATATAAATCGTGACATATTAAAAATGTCCTTCAAAGGTATTAGTTATATAATAATATAATGTCCTCCCAATTAACAATGGCTGGATGATTACTGTGATCAAAATGGTTTAGAAGGATCTTTTAAGTATAAAACTAC